GGTATATTAAAAAGGATGTAACTATTACAAAAAGGAGCAAAGGCAAAGGCAAAAGAGAGTAAGAGAAATTTTTAGGTGGGTAGAGTATAGAATCCTACCTTATGAGTTTACTACCATATGATGTAATAAACATATGGTGTGTGATGCAATATCAACTTGGTAACATGTGATTGTTTTGTTGTGTTTATCACAGATTAAGGAAATTTATCAATTTTCTTGGGTAATATTTTAATAAATTGCTATGCGTTGCATGTAGCAACGCTTGGTTTGCTTAATGGTAGTTTTATTATTACTTATTAATCTAATTGATCAAATAAAGTTTATAATCATAAGCATGTTAGTAATTTATAAACACAAGATTAATCTTATTGCATATCAACCATTAGATAATAGAATAAAAAAGAATATACTAGAAAGGGTTTAGGAAAGTTTATAAATTATAAACATGTTTATAAATTATAAATACCAGATTAATCTAAATGAATACCAACCGTTAGATGGTAGAATATCCCAGAATATCCAAGGATATTCTAGGTATATTCACTACCATCCCATAGGTTTGCTTAAGCAAACCAAAAATATTAAAGTAAAACTTGATTTTAGAATTTGTTTTTTGGTTGTGATGATCAAGTCATCTATATATTCATTATTACCACAATATAATGGATTTTGGTGCATACCATTTATACCATGTTGTATTAGTTTTTGCTTAGTATTAGCTAGATTCTAAAATGTACCATTTTTATGAGCTTTTTCTTAAACTTTTGAGTGAGGCATATTAGTTTACATTTGAATTGGCAATATTAGTATTAGTTATCATGAGTTATTACTATGTTATTGTTGGATTTTCTATGAGCAACAAATAGGCTAGTCTGTAGTTGTTATCTAAAAAGTCTGAATTTAATTCATCAACACTTTCACTCATAAACAATCCAGTGTTATAGGTGAGAACCAAGCATGTAAAAATATACCATTACTTTATTTGAAATTGACAACATCATACTAATGCATAGGAGATCAAAAGAAATAACAATAAATATCCTTACAAAAGCCTTGGAGCCACAGCTTTTCAACAAGCACAAAATCAACCTTAGGATGTAGATAACTTGAGGGGGAGTTAAGAAGTAAAATGGTAGGCAAATGTACCTATTATTTAAAGGCCTGTATATGTTATATTTTCCCCTTATGAGCATTGCATAAGGCAAGCACCTGTGCCGGGGGTTCTAGAGCTTACATTGCAAGCTCTAAGTGTCAAAGTTGCTGTCAATGCTTGTGTTGATGTGGTGGCTAAGATTGTTTTATGCTCAACATAAGTTTTTTGGCTCTAGAACACTAGGGCAAGGGCTTCAGTAAGAGAATGCATTTCTCCACCTAATTTAAATATTTCTAGATGGCTACTAGTGATCCTTGCTTGATTTCAATGGAGGCATGGGTGGGCCTCACTAAAAGAATTGCATTTCTTCACCTAACTTGAACATTTCCAGATGGTTACTAGTGATCCTTGCTTGATTTCAATGGAGGTGTGGGTGGGCTTCAGTGCAATGATATATCCATGTTGACTTTGGAGAGATCAATGACTTAAATTAGTGCTAAAGTACAGCTGAAAAGACGAGAATGAATACATAGAAATACTGCTGGATCCATTCTTGGCAGACCTGGTGTCAATACTTTGCTGTAACGAGGAAAGTCCACTCAAAGGTGAGATTTATAACAGTGAATTTGGGTGTGAGAGGAGGAGAGGAGAGGGCCAATTGTGGGGGATTTCACTTTCTCAACCGCACAGCATTTGTTGGGCAATTTCTAGTGTCATAGGGTTCAACTCACTCAACGCTTGGAGTTCACATTCTCCCCCAAAACCCATGGCATGGCATCCCTTAAGCTTTTAACTTGCAGCTCACTAGATTCCTTTGGCTGCAAACGAGCAAGTAGATCTCAAATTTCTAAACCATGGAAAAAAGCATCAGCATGGTGGCAAGAGGTATTCATTACGCGCATATTCTAAAGTCGTTAGATCGGACGGTCCCTATAGCGACACGTGGCAATCTAGTGTATTAAGAGCGGATTTTCTTAGGGTTCTTCCGTGCTCGGTCGATTTCTTCCAATGCTGGTGGCTCTTCTCACGTGAAATTTTGGCCGAGAATCGTCTCGCGATGTGGCGCCAGTCGGTCAATCGATTCTCCTGTGCGTTCTTGCTCTTGACCTTGATCGATCGGCGTTTTCTTGCGATCTTGTGATACAGGAGAAAGCGAAGATGTGGAGGCCGCAGGAGGACCAACAGGAGGAGCGGCTGTTCCTCCGCTTTCCATGGTGGAGCTCGCATTTCCATCCCCGACATTATACTGGTAAGCGCTTTTCTTCCATTGCTATCATGATGCTGCGGGCCCGATCACCGCAAGGGAAATTCTTGCTTCTTTGCCCTTTGGATGTTTTGCCCGTGCGATTCTCTCGCAGATTTGATCGATCGATCTCAGTCCGACGCGAAGGATTCTTTTCACCAGTTGTGATCTGTGAGGAATTTCTTTTTTATATGGAAGTGCTTTCCTTTTGTGTGTGTGTGTGTGTTCTATCGACGGATTTAATCTTTCTCTCGTTCTTTCTTTTCATCGATCTTAGTCTGAAAGGATTCCTTTTACTGATTTGTGAGAGTCCTGCGAGGATTTTTTTTTTGTTTCTGGCGCTTGCCTTGTGTATGTTCTATCGACTCTGTTCAAGGATCTAATCTTTCGCTCGTTCCAGGCACTCGAGCTTGGTGTGATGGCCGCCAAAGTCAATAGCATGCCGGATGTTGCTGTTCGTCCGCTAGGCTCCGGTCCTCCTCCATACAACTCTTTCGGCGGCCCTCCTCCTCACCATGTCACAGACCATGACCGAGGCAGCTCCTACATGCTCGAAGGCGCTGTTGGTGTCTCACTCATGCATCACGAGCCCCCGCCAAAACCAGATGGCTTCTACAAGACGTGGATCTTCGGCAAAGTTTTGGATCCCAGGAGCAAGACCATCATCGCCTGGAACCGGGTCTTCCTCCTCTCCAGGTTCTGGGCTCTGGCTATCGAGCCGCTGTTTCTCTACACGGTGGCCATCAGTCCACACCGCTACTGCTTCTACATTGACGGCTGGTTTGGTATCTTCGTGACGCTCTTCCGCTGCGTGAGCGACTTGATGCATCTCTGGCATATATGGCTCCAGCTCAAGCTTGCTTATGTCGCTCGGAAGTCCCTCGTCCTTGGAAGTGGAAAGCTCGTCTGGGATGCGAGGATGGTTGCTTTGCACTACCTTCGTCCGTCCGGCGGCTTCGTTTTCGATCTCTTCGTGGTTTTTCCTATCTTACAGGCAAGCTTTTCAGTTTTTCCTCGACACAAATGGTTTGACTTGCGTTTTTCTTGCAGATAGTTATATGGGGTGTCGTTCCAGAGATGATCAGGAGCGGAGGTAAAATGAGTGGGATGATGACAAGCATTCTAGTGGCATTCGCGATCCAGTTCGTCTACAAAGTGTTTCACTTGATCACTCTAGTGCCGCGGATGCAAAGAGTTACTGGATACGTTTTCGGGACCGCCTGGTGGGGCTTCGCTCTTAACTTGACAGCATACTTCGTGGCGGCTCACGTAAGATGGCAGTAACTCTCTTCGATGTTCTTGCTCACGTTCTTGGCTTTGCAGGCCGCAGGAGCTTGTTGGTATCTCCTTGCTTTGCAGAGGATTTCTTCGTGCTTGTATGACCAGTGCAAAATGAAAGCTGGTTGCAATGTCCGGGATTTGGGGTCCTCGCATGCCATCTTATACGGTCCACGGTTCTCTGATCCTTCGCCGCTTACATCTGCGAAGCTATATGCAGATGTTGCTCCCACTTGTTTGGAGAACAAGGGTGATGTTTTCAAGTACGGGATTTTTATAACCGCCTTGCCGCTGACTACCTCCAGGAACTTCTTAAACCGCATTCTTTATCCTATCTTCTGGGGGTTGATGACTTTGAGGTACAGAGTTTTGACGGGAAACATGCTAACTCTTACATTTTTCTTGTTTTCAAATCCAGCTCTTTTGGCAATGCTATGGTTCCAAGCAATCAAATGCTGGAGGTCATTTTCAGCATTCTAGTCATTACGTGTGGGCTCATGCTGTTCACACTGTTGATAGGAAACATACAAGTAAGTCACTTCATGCATTCTGTGAGGAAACTTATTTAGTAGGACCCTTTGACTTCGACAGGTTTTCTTGCACTCGATGACGGCTAAGAAAGAGGAAATGCGGCTGAAAATCAGAGACCTCGAGGTTTGGATGAAACGCAGGCAGCTGCCATCTCGGCTGAGGCACCGTGTTCGTCAATACGAGCGCCAGAAATGGGCCGCTTTACGTGGAGTTGACGAGCACGCCATGGTTCGCGAGCTACCCGAGGGCGTCCGGCGGGATGTCAAGCGCCACCTTTGCCTGGACCTCGTACGTCAGGTCCCTCTCTTCTACCAAATGGACGAGATCGTGCTCGACACCATCTGCGACCGCGTCAAGCCCCTGATGTTCATCAAAGGCGAGACGGTAAGCACCGAGCCTCGCAACCATCCCAAAGTGTGTTTTTCATGCACAGTGGTGTCATTCCATGTAGATCTCGCGAACCGGAGACCCAGTGCAGCGGATGCTATTCATCGTCCGGGGCAGGCTGCAAAGCATCCACAACCTGAGCGAGAACAAGACGAGTATCTTCACCATGGAGCCCGGGAGCTTTTGCGGGGACGAGCTTCTGTCGTGGTGCCTCAGGAGGCCATTCGTCGACCGGCTACCCCCGTCCATTGCGACGCTGAGGTGCTTGGACTCGGTGGAAGCCTTCGGATTCGAAGCTCGCGATCTCAAGTACGTGACAGACCACTTCCGGACCGAGTTTGCGAACGAGAAGCTCAAGCGGACCGCGAGATACTACTCATCCGGATGGAGGACTTGGGCCGCGGTTACCATTCAGCTGGCTTGGAGGCGTTTCAAGGCGGCCAGGGTCTCAGTAGCGGAGCCAGCGAGAACATCGAGAAACCGTGGGGGTGCTGGACTGGAACGGAGGCTCAGCATCGCTGCCTCGGACTCGGACAAGCTTCGCATGTACACTGCGATGTTCTTGTCTCCAAAGCCGCAGGATCATCTCTAAAACATTCAAGAAAAAAGGTACTTAGCTTCATTTGATAGTTTTGTGTGAAGGATACTAACACAGCGCAGGATGGATCGATTGTTTTGTACAAACTTACGTATTTATATTCTCAGGAAGGACAGCCGAAAACCTTGATTCACGCTGTACGAGGCCGGGTAAAATTCCTGGTTTGCACGGATTGTTGTCAGCAGCATGGCTATCTCTTCCTCGAGGAGAAAGATGTCGTCCACGTTATGGCGTGTACACCACTCCTCTACAATACTGGAGAACGAAATTTTGCGTGTTAGTGATACCGCATCACTGGATTAAATAAGATACTTACGTTAGTTCGTGTTCTTCAAACTCGCTACAATCTTGAAGCATCGCACTCGCCGCTGGAGTGAAAGAGCCAAGGGAAACTTGTCTCTTGGAATCCACCACTGCTCCAGAGAAAACGAGAGAGTTCTCATTTACAAGCACCACCTGGAGCATTGGTCTTTTAAGTCTCAAGCCTCGAACGACGTATCTATAGGAAGAGTCTTGCTCGGCTCTAGATACGAGCTCCTTGGTAAAGTCCTTCTCAAGAGTGTGGTGCCTTAAAGAAAAGAAAGCCAACACTCTACTTTAGAATGGAGCAAGAAGAAAAATAAAGCGATAGAGAACGAGTACCTGAATGACTCCTTGGTCAGTGTGTTTTCAGCCGCTAGTATGTGTCGCTTGAACAGATGGACGGCTGGTTTCGGTGTTTGGCCTTCGTTTGGTTCTAAGAAAACTCCAATCAGCGACGAGCACTCGAGGCAATTGAATGGCTGCCATGTACCGCTGTTCATTGGCTCCACCGGACCTTTGAGAAAGTCGTAGAAACCTGGACCTGACGTATGTTCTTCACGAGTAGTAACGCAGTCATTTTTTTCACAGCAGACATCGTGCTGGTGCCCCCGGAAAACCGAAGTGTGTTGCCTGTGATTACCCTGGTTTGTATCCCCGTTTACTTCTACCTCGAGAGCACCAGCCTCGCTCTTCTCCTTTTCTTGCGCTCTATCGCAGGCGCTGTCAACTGGTGGTGATGCCTGGCAAAGATCCGAGGCGTGAACGATGCATGTCGAGTTTCCAACCAGGAGTTTCCCGTGCGAGGCGGTGACGTTTTTCTCAAACCCTGCAACGATTGACTCGGTTCTTATACTGGAGCCACAGCAACATACTCCAAACCAGTCGTCCGTGGCCTCTCTCCAATCAACGGAGGGAAGTTCCAGCACTGACCTGCATAAAAGAACAAAAGAGTTTACTTCCTCCTATAAAAACTCGATTTTCTTACTCGAATCCTCCTCGTGTGATCGCCGCCTTGCAAGCCCTGCAGCCAAGAATAATTTCCGGTGCGCGTGATGCAAGCTCGGATGATTCATCTATGGAAAACAATACAGATCTTCCGCTAGAGTCTAGGAAAATCAAAGAAACTTACTTGTGCTCGGAAGCATTCCCATTTCGCTGCTCAGCAAAAAACTCGCTCCACCACTCACCATTCTGAGCTTAACCTCGATGTGATCCTCCCGCGCCACCGCTTCCACCGGCGCCCCGTGATCGACAGGACACAATGGGAGAGGAACGCGCAACACCACGCGCTTCCCGCATTCTCGCTCCGATTGCCACTCGCAAACCAGCTCCAAACAGGACGAGAATCGTCCAAGGGACGCCTTGAGCCCGCGATTGCACGATACCGACGGCGCCACCAAATCCTTGGTGAGCAGCAGCCGCAGCGATGAGATTCGCAGCAGCGCCTCGTAGAGAAATCTCCAGCCCTCCTCTTCTCCCACCTCGGCCATAAGCCCTAAATTTCAAATTCCCATAAGCCCTAAACTTCACATTATTATCACTACACTTTACACTAATCACGATTTTTGCGCTAAGCTAAGTACCGTACCCTGGACGTACGAGAACGCGTCCACGGCCGATTTCGCTAGCCAGCTTACTCCAACCTTGAGGCGGTGCTCGTTTGTGGGAAGGCGATAGAGATACGCGAGCTTTCTAGCTGCAAGAAATTCAAAGAAAACGATGGTAAACAGGAAGAAAAAAAAAGATGTTCTACCTGTATGACCAAGTACACCGTCCAGCGTGATATCTTCGAAGAAACTGGGCGTAACAGCACCATTATACCTTCCAAGCGTCATCATCTCGCCCAAGTGCTGGTACCTGGAGAAAACGATCAGAACAAAAGAGTAGGACAATAACTTTCTAGCCTGAAAGGTAGAAGTGGCCTGTTGTTGATCGCGGCCCACAAGTTCCATCCGGCATAGTCAGCTTGCTGAAGCGCGACCTACATAGAAAAAACGTTATTTGAGCGCGAAAAAAAGAGTCAGTACCTGTGCTGTTGTTTGCAGCAGCCTTCCAGAGCTGTCTTTGTTACCAGCGGAGTCTCCAATCGCGAAGATGCGAGGGTGTCCTTTTACTCGTAGAGTCTCGTCAGTGTCCGTCTGTCCACGCCCGTTTGTAGGAAAGGCCTTTGGAACCAACGCTCTGCCTCCGACCGTCCATAGTACCAAGTCGGCTTCCAGAAATGTGCTGGGAGGGGCTTTACGAGTGTTCCTTGAGTTCGCTGGCTTTAACTCGAGAACCACCCGCTTGTTCTTTTTCTCTGGCTCGTTGGAATCCTTGAGAGCAATATTAGTTACAAAATATCCCAGCTCCAGCTTGACGTTGCGAGATGACAATACCTGCAAAATAATTGATGAGTAAGACTGAACACTTGCGTCCTCTCCTTTTTTTTTTTTTTTTACCTCCGAAGCTTTTTCTCTGTTTCCGGTAGGTGCTGAAGGGCAGATCTCTGAATTGACATCAATCACTTGCACTCGACCACGCTCACCAAGCCTCTCCGCAACCGTAGCTGACAACTCAATGCCACAATAGCCGGACCCGACAACAGCAACATCTATGGGCAATTGCTTCGGACCAAACCTCTCCCTTTCCAGCTCTTCCAATCTCTTCTCCAGCCTCTAAAGACGTGAGAAGCATGAGTGGCTCTAAAAACGCAATCTAAATGGAAAAGGCGAAAGAAAAAGAAAAAAGAAAACCGAAGCTTACGAGAGCATCTTCCAGAGTCGAGAAAGGAAGGGCGTGTTCCAGTGCTCCAGGAACCATATCCATCTTAGTTTCAGCACCCAACGCCAATACTAGCCTGATATCTGTGAGTCAGATGTTTAAATGTTTGAAAAAAAAAAGTAAAAAGGATGAGAACACTGGAAGCTTACCAGTCATATTCGACTTGAATTCCGCTCTCAAGGTACACCTTACCACCGATGCTAGATGCTGACGACTTGTTATCGTCAGCAACTGCATCAAAAGGTGACACGGATTTGACATTGTCTTTTAGAAAGCGTATGGTTGTGCTCGCCAAGAGGTCTGCAAATAGTGGGGCTACCTCCCAGACATCAACTTCTGCACATCGTGAGTCAGGAGAAAAAATGTGGGGCATTTTTTTTTTCTTTTTTTCTGAGAAGTCGTAACCTTTTGACAATAGCTCGTAAAGCATCGGCTTGAAAACGAAACGCTCGGATTGATCCACAAGTAAAATCTGGAAAAGAAAACGTCCTTGAGGAAGCAAGCCATAAAACTGGTCAGAAAATAAAGGCTGAGAACCTGCGGACGCTTTTCTGGTGTCCACACAAGAGAATCCAGCCGCAAGGCAGTGTATAAACCACCAAAGCCACCACCCAGTATACATATTCTGGGGCTCTACACATCAGCAAGAAAAGACTTTAGAGCTCTTTGTCAACGTGGAAAGAAATGGAACACATACCTTTCTGTCGGACCAGACGTAAGGATTGAGAAATTTCTCAGAAGTCGTGCTACGATCATCGCTACCCCCCGCAGATTGCGAACTTAATGCCCTGATCCTCGCGAATAAAAGCCTTCTAGAAGAATTCTCCCACCTCTGCAGTCGGCCTCTAGGACGAGCTGGATTGATAGCTTCGTCACTGTTCTACCCGATCAAGAAAACAGAACAGCGACTCTTACCGGAGAAGCAGAGCCTCGAGCAAAATTTCGACCCCACGGCGAAGGAATGCGATGCTCCTGCAGCCAGCATTTGGCGCTAGAGCGCAGCGAATCGGTCAAGATTACCTGGAAGAGAGGCGCACGGGGACGATCCAAGAGCGGCACACCCCAGCGCCATCGCCCCGCCCTAGCGCTAGAAAAAACCTAAACCCCCAAGAAATTTCTAGGGCTGCCACGATCTTACAATCTAATAGATTTAAGGTGAGTGAGTGGAGGGGCCGTTTACGAATGATTGTCTTTGACAAAAGCTCTTACATTCACTCAGAGCCACACACACATTTTCTACGTTCTTTGGAAGATCATGAATTAAAACCAATGTGGTGCTTGTGGATCACATGGCAAGCATTAGATGCTCTCTGGGTGGACTGTCGGACCGAGAATATGGCATGCCTGTCATCATACTTAGATATAGAGAGTCAATCACGGCGCCAAAGTTGACCAAAAAACCACACAAAAATTACCCCTTTTTCTGGTGTTCTAGAACCGAAGAACAGGAAAACAAGCAAAAAAGCGAGAAAAAGAAAGAAAAAAAGAAATGCAAAAGCGGAGAAAGAGGAAAATTAAGAAAGCGGTGTGCGTGTGTCGGAGTGGGAGAGCATGTTTTCTCAATTGCAGCCGCAAAGAAATTTTCTCAGGTACTTTATACAACTTCTGGGTTCAAGCAGCAGCCGGCCATGTGCACAATGAATGGGGGTTTTGACGGCAAAACTCCAGCTCCCACTCGAGCAGGAAACAAAAAAAAAGAGTTTTTGGTCGCTTGGGTGATCTCAGCGAAGGCAGTTATAAGGGGCATCTTCCAGTGTTGACTCAACAGCAGCAAAAAAAAAAAACAAAAAAAAAAGGCGACGAAAGAGTGAACAAATCCAGAGAACTGGGGGACAGGAAGAGGAAAGTTGCGCAGGCGGCCGATTGATTATTCGTGCCTCTTGCGGTTGATGGGAGAATCTAGAGTCTAGACTGGTAGAGGGGCGCACAGGTTTTTTAGTTTGGATTATTACAAACGGTCCCTGCAAGTTCCCACACACCAACGAGTTTACAAGTCTTTTCCTGCTCGTCTTCCTGTTTCTTTTCTCCTTGCTTTGGATGGAGAGTCGTCGTCAAGGACCGGCACGAATGCAGTAGCAGCAGCAGCAAACAAACAGGGTCGACGGAATAGAAATCCAAAAGACCAAGAAAAGAGTGATTTTTCCATCATTTTCCTTGGGTTTTTTTGCAGTGGTTATTGGGAGTACACTGCATTGCGAACAGAGATCCGGCACTTGGCACATGCAGGTCATCGGGACTGTATAAAGTCCGCACATTTTTCTTTCAATTCTTTTCTGGTCAGCGAGGAACAAGGTGAACAAGAAACAGAGGGGAACTTGAACAGAAATTTGACCCCACTCACATGATCCTGATGCTACACTTGACACTGCAACACCTCACTTGTGACAACAAGAGGTATCAAATCCCTGGGAGTATCACAAACAGAGGCGAATTGTTTTTCTTATTGCCAGGAGGGATCGGTTTCTAAATCATGGGCTTAGTGTGGAGCCGGGCATGTCTTGGGTGCCGTAAGAATTTCTCCAATTTCTCGGTCCTCTCGCCGTGTCAACCCATGATCATAGACAAGGATCTACACGCAGGGAGAGTGTAAAGATTTTCGGGAATTTTTTATAAAGCAAAAGGTGGCATGAAACATTAGAAACCACGACAGAGGGACAGTGTCACTCTCGCAACCTAAAAAAGTTTGAGAACTCTACTCCGTGTGGGTAACTCCTTGTTCAAAGAAGTAGAAGAGGAAGAGGATTCTGACCAAGAGTTGAAATTGATGATCCAAACAAACATCATGAGACAAAGGATAAGCTTTGGTCACTTTGTTCATCACCGCGTCTTCCTTCTTCTAGATCAGAAGAAGGAACTTGAGTGTTGCAAGAGTTGCGTCTTGCAGTTCACTATACACGACTATTTCTTCCAAGAACTTACGTGTTTTATTTCCACAGGCTACAAAAAATGGCTTTCCGCGTTCTCACCCCTCTCTCTCTCTCTTCTCTCTGTGAAACGATGATCGATAATCATAAAACCACACGAGAGCCCCTCTTCCAACAATCTCGGAAGTCGCGACCCTTCTAGAAGAGGAGGAATGGAGAAAAGGAAGAAGAAGAAATCCTTCCTTGTCATTACAGGGCTCCTGCGAAGACGTCCAAGTGTCTCTTGCCGTGCGCCGGGATGCTGAGCCTGGCGGCGCTGTAGTCCCCCCAAGTGAAGGGCCTGTACCGCAGAGGATGATCTTCATCGATGAGCTCATCCGGGGGGGTGATCACGTAATCCTCTTGTGGGCCGTAGAAGAAAACCATGGAGAGCCTCCCTTGCTTCTGGTTCACCACCGCTCGGTGCTCCACGCTCTTGTATCTTCCATTCGTCCAGGCCTGGAAGAACAATTGGGACATTATAAGTTTCGAGAACTATAGCACAGATCATTCCATCGATCGATCATACCTGAAAGACATCGCCCAAGTTGATCACGAATGTGTCTGGCCGTGGCTTCACAGCGATCCATCGGCCATCTTTTCGTATCTGGAGACCACCGACACTATCCTGGTGGAGTATAGTGATCGCGGAGGGGTCGGAGTGAGCGAGGAGGCCCAGAGCTTTGGAGGGCAAGGGGCATGGAGGGTAGTGATTCCACCGGAAAGTGGAGGAGCTCTCCTCGAAGTGGCGGCTAAAGGTTCTCCTCTCCAGGCCCAAGCTCAGGGCAATCAATTGGACAACACTCTGCCCGAGCTTCTCCATCTCGGCGTGGTACCTCCGCAGCGCTCTCCTGGATCATGGGCGAAAGGAATCAAGTTAGAATTGGATGATCGAGCAGAGTTTCGACCATCTCGCGGCTCTCACCTTAGCCTTGGATTGCCTTCTCCCGGCCAGACTCTGTCCACCGTCTTATCCACGGTGGAGTATGGAGTTTGCTGCATTGCCATGGCTTCCACCCACGGCGCGCTCGAGGACAGGTCCGTGTAGCGGCCATTGTAGCCCAGAGGCCTTGGGAAGATCGCGGCCTTCTCCTTTTGCCGGTAGGGGAGGTGGAAGAATTGGTCGGCATGGAGCAGCATCTCTTGGATCAGGTCGCCCGGGACGCCGTGATTGACGATCTGGAAGAACCCCCAATCGCGGCAGGCATTGCCAACCTCGCGAGCGAGGATCTCGGTGCCAGCCCCGGACTTTAGCGTCTCAAAGTCGATCATTGGGAGTTCCACCTCGGGGAGGAAGGCGTCGTGGGACAATCGCGCGCGGTGGCTCTCGGGTATCACGTATCTCTCGGGCAGGAGATTGGTGTCCTTGAGCAGCGCCGAGAGCTTGCAAATGTTTTGTCTCTCCAGCGCTGCCGCTGATTCGCTCGTCGTGGCGGTGGAGCTTTGGAGCTGGAGCAAACTCCGCGGAATTCTCTCCTTGGTGTGACGATCGCGCTTGGGCGGTGAAGCGAATGAGGGAAAGCCCGCTGGCCGCGACTGGACCGCCATCCGGAAGAGGAAAAAGAAGGCCGCCAAGGAAGAAAAACTTCGAGATTCCGCTACAAAAACAAAAAGCAGAAGATCTTCCCAGGAATTCGATCGCGGGGGGGGCAGATCTTCCTCCGGGAATTCAAGGAAGACGCGAGGACTTGGAAAAGATAGCGCAGCGAGGGCGACGTGCATGAGAGAAAACCGTGAGCGTGTGACTAAAATGACCTGAGTAAGGGAAGTGGAATGGCGCTGGCTTTTAAAAGTCGCGAGAAATTCTATTCTTTCTCCCCAGGAACAGTGGTCAAACACTAAGACGACTTCGTAAACTATAGCAATCTTTCTCTCTAACCTAGCTCTCTCTCTCTCTCTCTTATCCCAACACTTTTGCTACTATGCTACACACCAACTTCTTGCTTTTCAGGGTTCCTGGATGATCTCCTATAGCCAACAACAGTCCAGATGCGGCAAATCACTTTGCCCTCGCGCTAAACATGTTTCCTTTCTTTCCTTTGTGATCTTCGAGATCTTTTGGCTCTTGGAAAGGTGAAAGGGAAGGAGAGCTACGTGGAAAGCCACATTGGTGTCGTGAATTGAGGCCGACATAGAGGCTGCTCGGCCGGCTGAGGAGAGTTCTCTTGTTCGAGTTTTGGGCATTGTTTTAAGTGCCGGCTTTGCAACAGTGGGCTGCGCTGATGTTTAAAACTTTCTATGCTCAACTAAGAGTTTGTGGTTGAAGTGAAGTTTAGATGGTGATTATTGTTTGTGATGGTCATCAGATCCATTGACTTGGATGTCTCAACACCTGAAAAGTAAAAGTTCCACTGCCACCTTTCTGACTGAATGACGCGTTTAAATTGCGTGTGTGTTCTTGTTCGATGGCAAGTTCTTCACGGCATTTTCGAAGCAGAAGGAATTGTGTGTAGCGATCGAAGGATCTGTTGCGACTTTTGAATTGAAGCTTCTCTTTGGGAGTTTCTCTTCAATTCTCTTGTATATATTTTATACTTTTATTTTTTGTAACTTTTTTTAAATTGTGGATTAATGCGTATGATGCAAGTCACGAAAAATATTTAAATAATATGAGGAAAATTCCTTGAATCACACTTGCCAGCTATGCTCTCAATGGATGTCTGCCAAGTGGCGCGCATCCCAGCCGCCCACGTGGACGAAGCTTAAAACGCATATCCTGGGAATTACTTATTACGAAGTGGGATTCTAGGGCAGTGCGGAAGCAGCGCGGCGATGGCGTCGTCACTCGAGGCGCTGCAGCCGGCGATCGAGAGCCTCTACAAGGTGCGGGACACATTCTTTCCTCTCGACGCCGCCGAGAAGAGGGATCGCCTGGAGCGATCCGCAAAGGAGCTGATCGCGGCCCTCGATGGCATCTCTCTAGGTGAGAATCTCGGAAATGTGGCTTTCTCTTACGTTTTTCGCTTAGAATGCAAGAAGCTGCCCCCTCGCCGTGCGCTCTGGGAGTATTTCAAGGGGAAAGTTTTGGATGTTATGCCGGAGTATTGCAAAGAGGCCGAAGATCACCTCTCCAAAGCGGTATGCTCGCCTAGACCCTCGCATTTTTCATGGCTGGATTGACGAGAGAGCACGTAAAAGACCGCGATATAATGCTGCATTCCCTGATCTTACCTTATTCCTTTGCAGCAAAGGATGTTCTTAAGTACCACTCTTGTTGAACCTGAGGCAGGTGAAGCTGGATCCTTCTATTGTGGATGCTTGGTCCTGCCTGGGGAATTGCTTCTGGAAGAAGGGAGACTTTTCTTCAGCAAAGAACTGTTTCAGCCTGGGACTTCAAAAGGTTTCTTCTTTTTCTTCTTCTTTGGTTTTTTTTCTTCGTTTTCGCTGACATAAGTTTGCAGGGACCAAATAAGAAGATCTTACAGCAACTGTCTATGCTGGAGCGGCGACTTGGAAAAGGTTAAGCCCGTTTTGTTTTGTTTACCGGCTTGTGACTTTCTTGCTTAATAGGAACCCCAAACGAATCCGAGATGGTTGAAGAAAGCATCAAGCACGCCAAGGAAGCAGTGTGTTTGGATGTCAAAGATGGACACTCCTGGTGTAAGAAGGTTTCTTTATCGTTCTTTTTATGTGGAAGTGTTTTGAAGCATGTTTGCAACAGACACGCTAGGGAACGCCTTTTTGACGAGCTTTTTTGTGACCGGAGCATGGGACCGACAAAAGCTCCACCAATCTCTCAAGGCCTATCAAAATGCGGTTGCGTTTACTCGCTTTTGTGTGGTGCCAGTTTTCTTCTGACGGTTCCATTATCTACAGGAGAAAGACGTGCTGGCTAATGGTAATCCTGATCTGTATTTCAACAGCGCAATAGTAAGTTGCAATGCTTTTTTGCAAAGTCTTATTTTGTTCGTTTTGGTTTACAGGTGCATCAGTACCTAGAAGATTATGAGAGAGCGCTGAGAGCATACGACGCAGCTAGTACTCGGGACCCTGGGCTCCCTGCGAAGGACGAAATTGATAAAATTGTCAAGCTTTTGTCTAAGCTGGAAGATGCTGTTGCAAATAAGGTATTTCCTTGCTGAGTTATCAGCTGTGGTTTCCTGAAGTTGTGGAGATGTTTTTCAGGGTTGGATCAAACCGAAGAAGCTTTCATTACTGATTTCTTCCTTGGCCACTGAAAGTGGTTCGTATGCAAGAAACAATTTGTTTTACTGATGTGGACTCTGTTTTTACACAGGGCAGTTCTCGTTCAAACGAGTGCCTATAACGTTACTTCAAGAAGGATTTAACAAAGGGAGCGTCGTCTACTGCAAAGTTTTGTCAGTCATCTCGCACGATAAGTCTGTGCCTCTGTAAGCTACCGGCGTCGTAGTTCCAGCGCTGCTGATCTCTCTTTCTCTGCTGCAGCTTTTACCTGGCTGCCGATTCAGAGGGAACGTGTTTCGTGGTTTCGGTGTACGCGATTCGGGAGGGCATGGTACGCAAAGCTATTCAATCCTCAGTTACACTCATGCTCAGGTGTACAGATGAAAGAGGGCAACTCTTTGAGTTTGCTGGAACCATTGCTTCACAGCGTACGTGCTCAACGGGGGAACAAGGTGATGCTTTTTCCTTTCTTCTTTTCAAGATTATAACTCTTGTTAATGCAAAGGTTTACTCGTTTAAAACCGTGAGGATCGATCACTCTCAGCAGCTGCGCGTAAACGGTCGCACGATAGCACCCCAAGATGCGGCATGCTCGATTATCCACGCAGAGCACGTCCCGCCCTAGCGAGCAGTGTGTGGCTCTTATGGAGTTTTAATATACATGGACTAAACTTTTAGTCAGCGGTCAAATATTAGTCAACTTTTGGAACGCTAATTCAGTAAGAAGTCATGTTTTCCGTGAACTCCCTCCGGCCCCGGGGATGTAGTGGATTGGAAGTTTCTTCGTCTCAAAGCCCAGGATCTTGTCCGCCATCGCTCACCATCTCATCACTTCCAATGTTGAGCGGCTTCCGGAAGTCAGATTTCGTGAGTCGCAACACGCCTTCCATGCACTCGTCAAGCATTTGCACCCCACATCTCAAAGTTGTCACTAGATGTTACTGCAAAATGTGAGCCTTCTCCCATCCACTTGTTTTAAGCGTCAATGGTTTGTGAACGCCCAAAGAAAAAGGGATCTAAGAACAAAGCTCGATGGATGTTGTGGAAACGTCTAGTGCAGCACTGGATTCCCTTGGTTTAGCTCACCCATAGGCATCTTGGGGCTGCAAAACCAGAGTTTTAGAACTTCCAAAGAAAAGAAGGTTTTCTTCTACATAACCATGCATCGTTTCTGCTTGACTTGTAGAAAAAAATGAAAAAAAAATGGTGAAAAAAACACAGGACCTTGCCTTGACAGAGGAAAGAAAAACAACGGATCCTTGGTCTGGAGCTTGGCCAACGCCTCACGCTCTAGCCACAAGTTCCATCTGGTGGATCTGCGACAATTGCTTGGCAGTGAAAGGGGAGGGGATCACATCTTCAATCATGGGCCTACCAAGATCAGCTTCAACAGGGTCGGTCCACAAGGGCATGGGTTCGAATCCCACTTGATATTTTGTCTCGGGGGAATGTTTTGGATGTTATACCAGAGTATAAAGCATTTTTCATGGCTGGATAATAGACATTATAGAACATTTATAATCTATTCTATTTAACAATACAAAGTCAATGTATAGGGCATTGTCTAAAGAGCTCAGTATTTGAAGTTCTAGGGCTCCTGTCCCTTTCGATGCGATATACTATCCCGAACACCTGGAACACAACTTCCACATAGCCGTACCAGAATTCCCGATCAATGAGCTGCTCCCTGACTGACTCAGTCATTTCTAAAACACTGTTCAGTAAGTCTCTAAACGGGTACGTGAGGCGGTTTGATGGGGTGGAGCATATTCCATCCCGATCTTCATGCCAAAATTCGTCCATCACTCGGACTTGCACCCACACCCGCACGTCTTCCGCAAGCGTAGCAACCCACGTGATTGGCTCGCCCACTATCGCCAGGTTGTTGCGGTGGTTCCGGACACGATTGAGCACTTCGACCATGAGTTCTCTCACCTGCGCTACACTGAGCAAGTTGTAGTCGAGCAAAAACCTAAACAAACCCTGCTGAGCTGCACTACAAGTGAGAGCCATTGCCAAGAGAAAGATCACGAAACTAAAGAGCTTTGTCATTGATAATCCAAGAAAATTGAAACTAGAATTTATCAATAGTATTTTATATATATATATATATATATATAAACACACACATTTGGTATTGATTTCTCTTTTATTTTTGTTGAAACAGACTTTTGATTTCTCTTTTGGTTTGCTACATCAACTTTTTATAGTAACAAGAAAAATATGAAAAGTTTGCATGTGCACAGCCGCGATCTAGCCGCGTTTTGACAGCCTGGATATACCTAATATATTCCTAATATTCATGCACAAATATTCTTTTTCAAGAGAAAATATTCTGTTTTGCGGGAATCTTTTCAGATACCTTTCAAACAATAAATTTCATGAGTTTAGCAAAGCCACTAAACATCCATTCTTGCACACATATCTATATATATTGCACTTTTTTAATCTCTTTGTTGCAAATGAGCTTAAACCTATGGTGTAAAAACATGCATAAATTTTCAGGTCCACGTGGCAAATGTTTATTGGATAAATTTCTGATGCCTATTCACATGAGCATCAATGACTAATCCATGACACAACTTGGAATTGGTGTGCTCGCTGTGGGCAAGCTCAGAGCATTATACACTAGTGATCAGAGCAGCCTCAGGCTGGGAGGAGAACTCACAGCA